CTACTATAATAATTAATAATAATAATAATAATACTAATAATACCACTTTATACTGTGTGACTAATTAATGGTCCAAGTCGAACTGTAACGTTGTCATAAGTTTTAGACTCTTTAGTGAGGGTTTTTTGTGGACTGTTCCAGTCACGGTGTTGTGACTTTTTATTTACTTATTTATTATTATTATTATTATTATTATTATTATTATTATTATTATTATTATTATTTTTATTATTATTATTATTGTCATCAATCATTATATCAAAATGAAAAATTCTCTGTATTAGTACACAACAATCGTTTCGATTTGCTGTAAATAAAACGATTTGATAACAATAGGTGGTATACGAACCTATAAGAGATTGAATTCCAAAATTATGCATTTCGAGAAGATATTCGAGACACTGATCACAAGGCAAATTTTTCTTTAACAGAATCGGGGAGGAAAAAAACAGGTGGAAGTCTCACAGCTGGTGACGACCTCCTGTAAGCTGGATACTGACACTCGGAGAACTGTCTTGTTGCCGTGTGTGTGGTGTCACCCACGGCAGAGCTCAACTGTCTATCTCAGCGGCTATTGTATCTGGACACGGTAGACCTGAACTGTCAGAGGTTCTTGCAGAGTAGAGCTGGACTGTTCATCGCGTCTTGCACAGACGGTCTAAACCGTCTATCACGGCAGAGCTAAACTGTCTATCTCACCTGGAAATAGCGAGAGAACAGTGTGCAATACTCCGGTGATATTGGTAGATGGTAGGCACGTCGATGGCAATATTGGTCGGTGGTGATGGAGAGCTTTTGTTGGGGGAGGTCTCTTGTTGGGTTGTTGCTGGAGAGCTTTTTTTGGGTTGGGTATTGGTGGAGAGGTGACCAGTGATATCTGGTCAGCGAGGCAGTAGGACTGACAGGGGCACACGATAAATTACATTCTGCTGGGGATGTGACCGTGGTTTGAAGGTCCTGGTGGATCTTGCTGCTGGACTGAGGTGTTGCTTGGTGATGAGACTATCATCTAACCTATGTTGTTGTTGGAGGAGGCAGTGTTGGCGCAGGTGTTGGTGGAGGTAGTGTTGGTGCTTGTGGAGGTGTTGGTGCTTGTGGACAGTGTTGGTGCTGGTATTAATGGAAGCAGTGTTGTTGCTTGTGATGGTGGAGGCAGCGTTGGTGTTACTGGAGACAGTGCTTGTGCTGGTGGTAGTGGTAGTGTTGGTGCAAGTGGTAGTGGTGATGCTGGTGCGGGAGTTAGTGGAGGCAATGTTTATGCTGGTAGTGGTGGTGCTGGTGGAGGCACTGTTGGTGCTATTGTTACTGGAGGCAGTACTGATAATATTGATGGTGGTATTGGTTAAGACAGTGTTGGTGGTGGTGGAGGCAGTGCTGGTGCTGGTGGTGATGGAGGCAGTGTTGGTGCTGGTGGTGATGGAGGAAGTTCTGGTGCTGGTGGTGGTGGTGGTGCAGGCAGTGTTGGTGCTGGTGGTGGTACAGGCAGTGTTGGTGCTGGTGGTGGTGGAGGCAGTGTTGGTGCTGGTGGTGATGGAGGCAGTGTTGGTGCTGGTGGTGATGGAGGCAGTGTTGGTGCTGTTGGTGGTGGAGGCAGTGTTGGTGCTGGTGGTAATGGAGGCAGTGCTGGTGCAGGTGGTGATGGAGGAAGTCTTGGTGCTGGTGATGGTGGAGGCAGTGTTGGTGCTGGTGGTGATGGAGGCAGTGTTGGTGCTGGTGGTGATGGAGGAAGTTCTGGTGCTGGTGGTGGTGGTGGTGCAGGCAGTGTTGGTGCTGGTGGTGGTACAGGCAGTGTTGGTGCTGGTGGTGGTGGAGGCAGTGTTGGTGCTGGTGGTGATTGAGGCAGTGTTGGTGCTGGTGGTGATGGAGGCAGTGTTGGTGCCTTTTGTGGTGGAGGCATGTTGGTGCTGGTGGTAATGGAGGCAGTGCTGGTGCAGGTGGTGATGGAGGAAGTCTTGGTGCTGGTGATGGTGGAGGCAGTGTTGGTGCTGTTGGTGATGGAGGCAGTGTTGATGCTGGTGGTGATGGAGGAAGTTTGGTGCTGGTGGTCGGTGGTGAGGCAGTGTTGGTGCTGGTGGTGATGGAGGCAGTGCTTGGTGCTGTTGGTGGTGGAGGCAGTGTTGGTGCTGGTGGTAATGGAGGCAGTGTTGGTGCTGGTGGTGATGGAGGAAGTCTTGGTGCTGGTGGTAGTGGAAGCAGTGCTGGTAGTGGTGGAGGCAGTGTTGGTGCTGGTGGTGTAGGAGGCAGTGTTGGTGTTGGTGGAAGCGTTGCTTCTACTGGTGTTAGTGTTAATGGATGCAGTGTTGGCACTGGTAGTGGTGATGATGGTGCTGGTGATGGTGGTAGCTAGTGTCAAGTCACAGCTGGGGTGAGAGTTAGAGAAGACCAAAGGACCATATGTCAGAGAGCGGGGGAAGTTGGTAAAGCTTACCTAACTGATTCTGACATTACAGGATTTAATGTCAATCACGACCTTAGAAATGTCAGGTTCCCCACATCTCTGAAACCACTTGGCAGTGGTAGACTAAAGCACAGCAAACAAGTGTGCACTGAGCACTGTAACACTCACTTGAGTGACTTCCTGTAGATATCTGGCCCCTGGATCCATTACCAGGTTAATATTCCAGCACACTGATCGCCGGTGTGAGTGGGACTTCAGAGAAGCGGTACACAGTACGTTTAGCTGACACATTGACATCTTCTAGCAGTAACGACCATACCTAAGCCCTTATTCTGACACAACCTTATTCTCAAACCACTACCTGGCCTTGCTCAGATCCACGGACTGCAGTCTGCTTAACTGAAACACGGAAGGTATGAGGGCTTTCCTAACACACCACTAAGTGAGAAACATACCTGAGATCAACTGGCTGGCTGGGCCCTGTAGGTGTTCCTTCTCGTCTGATTACCATCACGAAATGTCTTTTGTATGTACAGACAACATTCAACACTCTTAGTATTTGCCAGCATATAACTAAGACCCGTTTGTTTCCTAACAAATCTTACCTAACCTCACCAACACTTGAAGCGTCTTTTCTGGCTTATGTCCAGCGAAATCACTGATAACACCTAATATAAAGTAATAGCAGCAGCAGTAGTAGTAGTAGTGGTATAAAAGAGCAAAAATAGAGGAAAGTTATTGGCCTACATCAGGCATGACTAGTGATGCAGTCTTCAAACCTTTCAAGGTGGTGAGACTAAAGTACGTCAACACTGTAACACCAACCCTCAAGGAGGCAGAGAAGAAATGTAGCAAGCCTGGTGCCCGAAGCTAGAAAATATAAGGAAGAAGGGAAGAGGAAAGTCAAAAGACAGGTCTAAAGGAGGGAGAGGAGGAGGAGGAGGCGGCATAGGTCAGATGAAGTGTCCCGACGATACAATAAGAGCATTTGAACAGTGTTTACAAAGAGGCAGGAACCTGCAGTAGAAAAACCAGGGCTAAAATTAATGTTAATAAAATTGTATATAATAGATGATTCAACAAAACGACGTCTGTGAAGCCTAGAAGAAGGGTAGATAGTGTAAGTAGAAGACCAGTTAATAAGATGACTGATCTCTGGCAAGGTGAACACACCTTTTGTCCTCTTCAAGTCTGTCAGGCAGAGGCCAGTTTCTCCAAAGTTATGTAGAGGACAAGAGAAACAGGGAAAGAAATACCGGAAGCAACAGTGACAAATGGAAGAGATGCATTATTAGATTACCGCGACGGGTATTAATCTGACGGAAATTGAATTTGATATCTAGAGAATGGAGTGTGTTGCTAAGATTTTGAAAATTGGAAATCTAGGGAATGAAAAAAAAACAGATTTCGTAGAAGTGAGTTTGGGAGAGAGAAACATCTGCTAAGAAGAGAGATTGTAGAGTCATGAAACTGAGCGTCACAGATGAGGAAAACTAAAAGGGACTGGGGAACAAAAACACCCTGGACAGTATACTCACCCTGGACAGTATACTCACCCTGGACAGTATACTCACCCTGGACAGTATACTCACCCTGGACAGTATACTCACCCTGGACAGTATATTCACTCTGGACAGTATACTCACTCTGGACAGTATTCTCACACCTGGACAGTATACTCACCCTGGACACTATACTCACCCTGGTAAGAGAGACTGGGCAGTGAAGGGAGAGACAGTATATTCATCCTGGACAGTAAATTCATCCGTGGACAGTATACTCACCCTTGACACTATACTCACCCTGGTAAGAGGCTGGGCATGAAGGGAAGAGACAGTAAAATTCATCCTGGACAGTTATATACATCCAGTGGACAGTATACTCACCCTTGACACTATACTCACCCTGGTAAGAGAGGCTGGGCAGTGAAGGAAGAGACAGTAAACACATCCTGGGCAGTTTATTCACCCGTGGACAGTATACTCACACTGGACAGTATACTCACCCGTGGACAGTATACTCACCCTGGCACTGTAATAGAGGACAGTATACACTACACATCCTGGCAGTATACGCACCGTGGACAGTATACTCACACTGGACAGTATAACACACCGTGGCAGTTACTCACCTGGACGTATACTCACCGACAGTTTACTCACCCTTGACACTATACTCACCCTGGTAAGAGAGGCTGGGCAGTGAAGGAAGAGACAGTAAACACATCCTGGGCAGTATACTCACCCGTGGACAGTATACTCACCTGGACAGTATACTCACCCTTGACAGTATACTCACGCATGGACAGTAACTCTATCGGGACATTACTCACCTAACCTGGTCACCCTGGTAAGAGAGGCTGGGCAGTGAAGGAAGAGACAGTAAACACATCCTGGGCAGTTTACTCACCCGTGGACAGTATACTCACCCTGGACAGTATACTCACCCTTGACACTATACTCACCCTGGTAAGAGAGGCTAGGCAGTGAAAGAAGAGACAGTAAACACATCTTGGGCAGTATGCTCACCCGTGGACAGTGTACTCACACTGGACAGTATACTCACCCGTGGACAGTATACTCACCATGGACAGTATACTCACCCTGGTAAGAGAGGCTGGGCAGTGAAGGCAGTGGGTGACAGTGATCAGTGAAGGGACCACACACATGGATGTTCCCCAGTGGTAAGCTGTAGTTGGTACCCATGGCGTTACTTTCCCTGGGCACTCCCTCTGGGGAGCTTCTACCCCGAGGCGCCCCCACCACCACTCTGCCACACACATACACACACAAGTTAGAACCTCAGGGTGACTAAGGTCACGTGTTACGGGATTTTGTCCACGCCTCTGTAAGGAAGTTGTCTAAATACTGTTAGAGAGCTCTTGATCCAAGGAATTGGAGCACAAATTTTTACACATGTTGACCCAGTTATATTTAATTTAACCAAAGATTTTCAAGTAAGAGTGATCTTACATGTCTAATTAATCAGTATCATGTCTAAAATAACTTCTAAGTTCGCAGATCACTGTAATCCTGGTTAGACATTAGGCTATATTTATGTCGTGTTGCTTATTAACCGTGACTAGTCTCTATCCTGACTAGTGTCCATCCTGACTAGTGTCTATCCTGACTAGTGTCTATCCTGACTAGTGTCTATCCTGACTAGTGTCTATCCTGACTAGTGTCCATCCTAACTAGTGTCTATCCTAACTAGTATCTATCCTAACTAGTGTCTATCCTAACTAGTGTCTATCCTAACTAGTGTCTATCCTAACTAGTGTCTATCCTAACTAGTGTCTATCCTAACTAGTGTCTATCCTGACTAGTGTCTATCCTAACTAGTGTCTATCCTAACTAGTATCTATCCTGACTTGTGTCTATCCTAACTAGTGTCTATCCTAACTAGTGTCTATCCTAACTAGTGTATATCCTAACTAGTGTCTATCTTGACTAGTGTCTATCCTGACTAGCGTCTATCCTGACTAGTATCTATCCTGACTAGTATCTATCCTAACTAGTATGTATCCTGACTAGTGTCTATCTTGACTAGTGTCTATCTTGACTAGTGTCTAGCCTGACTAGTATCTATCCTGACTAGTGTCTATCTTGGCTAGTGTTTATCCTAACTAGTATCTATCCTGACTAGTGTCTATCTTGACTAGTGTCTATCTTGACTAGTGTCCATCCTGTCTTATATGGAAGTTATCAGTATACATTTAAGGGACACAACATATATAACACAAAGGTGTGTATAGCCTCTGTACTCACCTAGTTGAGGTGGTAGGGGTCGAGTCCTAGCTCCTGGCCCCGCCTCTTCACTGATCGCTATTAGGTCACTCTCCCTGAACCGTGAGCTTTATCATACCTCTGCTTAAAGCTATGTGTGGATCCTGCCTCCACTACATAGCTTCCCAAACTATTCCACTTCCTGACTACTCTGTGGCTGAAGAAATACTTCCAAACATCCCTGTGATTCATCTGTGTCTTCAACTTCCAACTGTGTCCCCTTGTTGCTGTGTCCCATCTCTGGAACATCCTTGTCAATTCCTCTCAGAATTTTGTATGTCGTTATCATGTCCCCCCTATCTCTCCTGTCCTCCAGTGTCGTCAGGTTGATTTCCCTTAACCTCTCCTTGTAGGACATACCTCTTAGCTCTGGGAATAGTCTTGTTGCAAACCTTTGCACTTTCTCTAGTTTCTTTACGTGCTTGGCTAGGTGTGGGTTCCAAACTGGTGCCGCATACTCCAATATGAGCCTAACGTACACGGTGTACAGGGTCCTGAACGATTCCTCATTAAGATGTCGGAATGCTGTTCTGAGGTTTGCTAGGCGCCCGTATGCTGCAGCAGTTATTTGGTTGATGTGCGCTTCAGGAGATGTGCCTGGTGTTATACTCACCCCAAGATCTTTTTCCTTGAGTGAGGTTTGTAGTCTCTGGCCCCCTAGACTGTACTAAGTCTGCGGTCTTCTTTGCCCTTCCCCAATCTTCATGACTTTGCACTTGGTGGGGTTGAACTCCAGTAGCCAATTGCTGGACAAGGTCTGCAGCCTGTCCAGATCCCTTTGTAGTTCTGCCTGGTCTTCGATCGAATGAATTCTTCTCATCAACTTCACGTCATCTGCAAACAGGGACACTTCGGAGTCTATTCCTTCCGTCATGTCGTTCACAAATACCAGAAACAGCACTGGTCCTAGGACTGACCCCTGTGGGACCCCGCTGGTCACAAGTGCCCACTCTGGCACCTCGCCACGTACCATGACTCGCTGCTGTCTTCCTGACAAGTATTCCCTGATCCATTGTAGTGCCTTCCCTGTTATCCCTGCTTGGTCCTCCAGTTTTTGCACTAATCTCTTTTGTAGAACTGTGTCAAACGCCTTCTTGCAGTCCAAGAAAATGCAATCCACCCACCCCTCTCTCTCTCTTGTCTTACTGCTGTCACCATGTCATAGAAGTCCAGTAGGTTTGTGACACAAGATTTCCCGTCCCTGAAACCATGTTGGCTGCTGTTGATGAGATCATTCCTTTCTAGGTGTTCCACCACTCTTCTCCTGATAATCTTCTCCATGACTTTGCATACTATACATGTCAGTGACACTGGTCTGTAGTTTAGTGCTTCATGTCTGTCTCCTTTTTTAAAGATTGGGACTGCATTTTTGTCTTCCATGCCTCAGGCAATCTCCCTGTTTCGAAAGATATATTGAATATTTTTGTTAGGGGTACACATAGCGCCTCTGCTCCCTCTCTCAGGACCCATGGAGATATGTTATCTGGCCCCATTGCCTTTGAGGTATCTGTCTCACTCAGATGCCTCTTCACTTCTTCCTTGGTTGTGTGTACTGTGTCCAGCACTTGGTGGTGTGCCCCACCTCTCTGTCTTACTGGATACCCTTCTGTCTCCTCTGTGAACACTTCTTTAAATCTCTTGTTGAGTTCCTCACATACTTCACGGTCATTTCTTGTTGTCTCTCCTCCTTCCTTCCTTCCTTAGCCTGATTACCTGGTCCTTGACTGTTGTTTTCCTCCTGATGTGTCTGTATAACAGTTTTGGGTCAGATTTGGCTTTTGCTGCTGTGTCGTTTTCATATTGCCGTTGGGCCTCCCTTCTTATCCCTACATATTCATTTCTGGCTCTACGACTGCTCTCCTTATTCTCCTGGGTCCTTTGCCTTCTATATTTCTTCCATTCCCTAGCACACTTGGTTTTTGCCTCCCTGCCCCTTTGGGTGAACCATGGGCTCATCCTAGCTTTTTCATTAGTCCTGTTACCCTTGGGTACAAACCTCTCCTCAACCTCCTTGCACATTGTTGCTACATATTCCATCATCTCATTAACTGACTTCCCTGCCAGTTCTCTGTCCCACTGAACCCCGTTCAGGAAGTTCCTCATTCCCGTGTAGTCCCCTTTCTTGTAGTTTGGCTTCATTCGTCCTGGCCTTCCTGCTTCCCCCTCCACTTGTAGCTCTACTGTGTATTTGAAGCTTAAAACCACATGATCGCTGGCCCCAAGGGGTCTTTCATATGTGATGTCCTCAATATCTGCACTACGCAAGGTGAATACTAGGTCCAGTCTTGCTGGTTCATCCTCTCCTCTCTCTCTCTTGTAGTGTCCCTTACGTGTTGGTGCATGAAGTTTTCCAGTACCACCTCCATCATCCTAGCCCTCCATGTGTCTTGGTCCCCATGTGGCTCCAAGTTCTCCCATTAGATCTCCTTGTGGTTAAAGTCGCCCATGATCAGGAGCTTTGCCCTGCATGCATGAGCTCTTCTGGCCACTGCAGCCAGTGTGTCAACCATCGCTCTACTGCTCTCGTCCTACTCTTGCCTTGGCCTCCTGCTGTTCTGTGGTGGGTTATGCATCACTGCAATTACCACCTTGGGACCTCCAGAGTGAAGTACCCCCGCTATGTAATCGCTTGCTTCTTCGCTCTTTCCTCTCTCCAGTTGATCAAAATTCCATTGGTTTTTGATCAACAGTGCCACTCCTCCCCCCCTGTTACCTCTGTCTTTCCTCAGAATCTGGTATCCCATTGGAAATATGGCATCTGTTATCATACCTGTTAACTTGGTTTCTGTGAGAGCTATTATGTCCAGTGATGCCTCTTCGACTCTTTCGTGCCACTCCTCCCACTTATTTGTTATTCCATCAGTGTTTGTGTACATATCTTCAGTTTCCTTTCCAACACTGTGGTTTGGGGGGCCTGTGAGGGTGGGAGACCTGGTAGCATACTGTGGGATTCTATAGCTGGGTGTTGGGTGGAAGCTGTGAGTGTGGATTGTAGTTTGTGTTGGGATGGTGTTCTGAGGATAGTTCTGTGTGTGCTTGCGCTTGCTGCTCTGCTCTGCTGTGATTGACCTCTGCTGGTTCCATCCTTGTCTCCTTTCGTAGCTCCTTTCGCTTTTTTGTCTTCTCCCTCAGCTGCTGTCGTTCTGTTTGTGTTCTGTCTCTGTCTAGGAACACCCTCATGTTCTTTTCCGAGTATTTCAACTGCGGTTTCTCACCATGTGTTTGATGTTTGTATTTTCTTCAATGTTGTCTGCAATAAAACAGTTGCAACAACAATCTCTGGGGAATTCTAAATCGGAAAGTTATTTTATGACGTCTAAATGGTCGGTCAACGGGGTTTAAAGACTATCACCTCCTGAGGGTCATCAAGGCTGCGCCTGACTTACACAACCATTCAAGAATACTTTAATATCTAAATTAGGGACTTAAGTCAAGTTTAGTATATATATATTATATATATTATATTATATATATATATATATATATATATATATATTTTATATATATATATATATGTGTGTGTATATATATATATATATACATATACATTCACCAGGTGTTAGATAACACTACATGGTTAAAGGCGAAAATTTAAGCTTTTGCAACACAATCGTAACAATATATTATGGCTGTGTAACGTTCCTTATTTTCTCAACTATTAAAAAGTGTTTTTTATTTATTAAAGAAATGTTTAAGAGTTCCAAAATCTTTATTGATAAATATTTTCAAATAGCAAGAATAACACTGTGTGAATGGCTTAAGGTATTGTGTTGACAAGCGTGACCAGTCTGGTGCCAGTCTGGTGCCAGTTGTGGGGATAAAACTGTTTTGATAAAAATGTTTTGTTGGTGGTGGGGCCATTTTTATGTGGGAAATGGAATTATGTGGACGACTCGTAGTACCATCTGTGAGAGAGTTATCCTGTGGCACCATCATCATGTGGTATGTAGAGTTATGTTGATGCCTGGTAGTGCCATCCAGTGG